TTGGAATTTTCCCCCAGAGCTGAAGTCTTTAATGTTTGTTTTACAGTTCACAAAATATGTATCAATGTATTTTTTGATAACTGACCTTTTTTAACATCCTAATTTTTCTCTATTAATCCTGCATACTAATACCAGGGGGTTCCTTTATTCCTTGTAATTAGAATAAGTTGTGCTTTTAGGTAAATGTACATTTTGAACAAAGGAAAAGCGTGTGGTGAATTAGAACAATATGTTTTGACTATAGTTGAGGATAAGGCAGCTGACTTTCTTAAAAAATATGCAAAGATGCTGAAAACAAATTTTTTTGTGTGGAATAGCTTGATGGTTGTCTAGATAAAGAAATCAAACAAAGTAAAAGTCCAGAGTCACTTTTCAATAATCTCTGGATGAAGTCCTAACAAGTTTTCACATTTTAAAGCACATGTTTAACCATGTACTCTAGCTCCTGAAGTCCCTCTTGAAGAATCTGCTGAAAGACCCCAAGTGTGTCACGTTGATGATTCTGAGTTATTTCCTATTGGCTGAGTGGCAGAGGCATTTATTATTACTTAATAACTGTCTTTGGTCATATTCAAACTTGGAATGATATAGTAGTATCAGTAAATGTCAGGTAATGACACCATAAAATATCTATTATGGCTTTAATATGAAATGCTGGCATAATTGTTGTATTTCTTGATTTTATGCATGACTTTAGTGACTCTTATTTTATTTTACATATTTAGTTTCCTTGCACTATGTCAGTATTTTATGACATAAATCATTTTTGATGACAGTGTCCAGTGGCTGAGGAATAAAAATTTATCTAAAAATCTCTTAGCCCAGTCGGAATAATCAGTATTCCCCAAAGGTGGCTCTCTTCATGCCATAGTATTCAGCCCCAAAGAAGACACATTTCCACTTTTAGCTATAGAAGATTTGCTACAGGTAAATGAGGTAAATTTTGTAGGTATCCTTGACTGTTTCCTTTGACTGAAAACAGAACTGTCTTCATATATTTCACAATGGTCTTGAAACTTAATCAGGATGCCTGCCTAATGAGTTACTAGCTTCACTTCAAAGACTCCTAGTAGTGATGTTGAGTAATTTAAGGCCCATTAAGGATCTTTATCAGGATTCAGAAAGGCATGTTCATGAAAACCCTTTAAGTATATTTGTTTTATTGACTTATTCTTAAAGAAACAACCCTGTTACAAATCTGAAAGTCCCCGAGAATAGATTTTGATGTTGATTGTTGAGCTTTTCTGAGTAAGATTCACTTCAGGGTAGCTTCTTCTGTAAGGATGATTTTGACTTTTAAATTTGCTTGAGAATTTTTTATATAAATTAAATCAGACACTTAATCTAGAGAATTACTTCAAAATCCTCAATTTGGGAATACTTATGACCATGGCTGTCTTTGTTTGTTTCATGTTGTTGTTATTATTATTATTTTTATTTTAATCTTGGGTTATTGACATATGTCAACACCTGGCAAGATTTTTGAGGTAGAAATAAGGAAAAAATTGTTCCTGCTCTCACAAAGCACCTAGAAAATATGCAGATTGGTTACACGTCAGTACTTTGTCCTAAAAGTTGTTAGTAAGAATTTCGTATACACATATGGCATGATGACTCTTCTGAGTATTTATATATCATATTTTATAGCTCTGCTTTGCTTATAAAATAAGTTTGTGGGTATTCTACGTTTCTTCATGTATACAAACATATACATATGCACACTACCAAGTAACGACTGGCTAAATGAGTTATCACTGTATTTACTCATTAGCAGTGAGTAATAACAAAAGATGCAGAATATTTAATGTTACAGATTTTTTCCTACTTTTATCATCTCACAGCAAAGCAGGATGGCAAGTTTTTAGTTCAGGGTTTCAGGAGCAACCTACTCTTGGCGCGTGTAAGTGACTTATCTCAGGTCATTCATCCTGGTTTGTATGATCAGGATTCCAAATGGATTATTTTGGCTACAGTTTCTGTTTTAATCCAACAGGAGATACAAATGCTTATAAACATCAACTAGAAAACATTTATATATATTTTTTAGTTTTACAGAGTATACTATAGCATTAAAAACAGTAAAACATTGGTGTGAATATGAATGTTGTTGATGTGAGAAAAACACTTTCATAATAGTTCATTTTTAAAACATGAGTAGAAACTCAGTTGCTTCTACAATAGAATTAGTCAATTTATTTTTCTTGCTCACAGCACTAGTGTTCACAGATGTTAGTTGCCATGAATATGCATCAGCAGAAAGTGTAAACTACAACCTGTTGTAGCAATTGCAAATTTCACCTCACTTACACAGTCAGTCATCTATTTATGGCTCTCCTTTTTTATGGTATGTATGCTCTTGTATCTTTCATGTCTTTTGTGTTCATTCTATCAAATGAAGTTGATTTTCTCTAGTGTCTCAAGATGGAGATTGTCTGCTATTTTTCATAAATAGCATGAGAATTTGGTATGCCCACTATGCACCTAATTATATTTCCTTTGAATATTTCTCTTCTATACAGTTCAATTTCCTGTATGTTAGTGGTAATTCAGGTTGGATCTACACTTTGGAAAAAGTCAGTGGACCAGTGAAAAATTTAGCCAAGTATCACATAGCCAAAATAAATTCTTTTTTTAACCCTGAGTAAATGTGAATGTTAATTTTTATATAATTTTTAGAATTTATAAAATATAGGTATTTGATCAGTCCCACTGAAAGGGAAAACAATCAGTTCGATACTAAGATAAACTCTGGTACTAGTTATGTAATGCTAATTAAGTGGATTAAAATTTACGTACTGTGAAAAATATAAAAAGAATCCCTAAAACCCAAGACACATTGTAAGTTTAAAAAAAGAGAAATGATGCAATAAAATAATCCTCCAAATAAAAGATTTATGCACAGCAAAACCAGCTGCTTGACTCTGTATAATTCATGTATTTATCCTTTCAACAGATACTTTTTGATTCACTTACACAGAAGAAAGTCTGTGTCTTTCAACAGCTTAAATTTTACTGGGAAAAATAGTTCTTACAAGAAAAGAAATAAGCAAGATAATTTCAGATTGTAGTAATTCCTTGAAGGAAATAAACAGCTAAGATGGAGCATTAGTTAAGGCAGCCACTTTGGGTGGGCTGCTCAGGAAAGCCCTTTCAGAGGAGTTGATTTTCCAGCTAAAGGATTGGAAAACATGCTCTGTGAGTATCGGGGGGGACACATGTTCTAGGCAGAGAGAACACATGTTAAGGCTGGAAATAGTGAGTGAGGACTTGGTATGAGAAAATATTGGGAGAGAAGGGTGAGATTACTCAGGGCACAATAGGCCATAGGCGAGACTGGAGTTTTTGGAAGAGCCACTGAAAATTTTAAAGAGGAGGGATGAAATCTGATCTATGGTTTTAAAACATCTGACTGTTGTATGAATTATAGTTAGTAGGGAGGCAAATGGAGAGGCTAGGAGACCAAGATACTATAATAACATGGAAGTGAGGCAGTGGGACCACAGACACTGAGGAAGGCAGTGGAGGTGGAAAGGAGTCGAGGCAGAGTAGCCATCTCCTGGTGAAGGAGAGCAAGGAGCCCAGGATGAACATCACCCCTAGGATGCTCACTTATCTCTAAAGAGGAAAACAAAAATGAACAGAGCACAAACCTGAATGAAGAAGTCATCAAACTAAAGAGGCATGAACTACTTACATGAAGTCATTTAGGTATTTCCATCCTACAACTGAGGAGTAGGACTCTCACACCTAACTAAGGAATTTCAGAGATTCAGTTCACTTGCACTACTTGTCTAAGCTCTGCCCAAGACCTTCTAATGAAAAAGGTCTAGCTATGGATTGTTTCTCCCAAGCTGGATCTGCATCTTATTTCTCTGTTTCCAACACACAGTATAGTACCTCTAGGAGCAGAGTAAGCAAAGTTGGTCAAATTTAACATCAGTTTGTCCTCTTAGTTTTTTTCAGCAGATGTGAAGGGCCTATTACATAAATTATTCTATTAGTTCATACAGAAACTCTGTTAGGCTGTTATTACTGTTGTTGTGAAGAATGCCCCCTTTTTACAGACAAAGAAACTAAGGTTGGTTAGGAGATATTAACCATCTGGATGTGTATCACAGTTAGTGAGGCAGAATTAGAATCCAAACCTATGTCTGTTGTGGTTTAAAACTTCTGCTTTTCCATAACATTGTGCTGCCTTATTGATCAGAAACCAAATTGATAAATCATTTAGGGCGGTATGCTTTTTGGCTCTTTCTAGCAGGTCTTCAATTAGTGAAAAGTGAGATTAGTGAAAAATGGTGACAGAGAAATATAAAGACATTAAAGAGACATATTCATTTCTTCCTGATAAATTAATAAAGGTACAGTGTGTCCTAAATAAATAACTCTGCCAACAGGAGGAAGCTCTCCAACAGGCCTTGAGAATATCAGATTACTCAGGACAGAGCAAATCAGGTGACAGATGACAGGCATATGGTATGTTATACTAATACACTTGCAAAGCACCACACTATGTATAGAAAGGTCAAAAATGATGGACCAAAGCCAAGATTGTTGGAAGGTTTGATTTTCGGGTCTTGAGAAGGGGAGGAGAAAACAAATGTGAGTGCAAGAGTAATATCCATGTTGGTTTTCTCAATCACCTTTGATGCTTGTAAGCTAGAGTCCTGGGACGGCCCCCTCCCACCCCCAAGACCTTCTGGAGAATGGGAACTGCCTGTTTAACAAACGTTCCCAGGTGATTTGGGTACCAAGTAGGTAATGGACCACATCTTGGGAGAATACTGATTTAGTCCACTCTGTTTAATTTACAAAGCATCGTGAGGCTCATCAAGGAAAATGGTTATCCAAAGTTGTAGCACTCTTTTTTTTGTTGTTAGAGCTTAAGCTAAACCAGTCTCCTAGAGGCCCAGTGCTGTCTTCTTTGAGACTTAGATTTAATTTTTCCAGCTCAGTCATGGATCAGCTAACAGCATGTATCATTGATACTTCTCTTCTAGAATCACAACCACAGCTGCCTGCATGATGGACCTGAGGCGGTACCCACTGGATGAACAAAACTGCACCTTGGAAATTGAAAGCTGTAAGTTTTTCTGACAATCCAGTTAGACTGAACTTGGCTTTAAGGTTCTCCTTGGGCAAAGGTCTCCTACCCTGGTTCACATCCACAACACAAGTCCTGCAAAGGTTGTGCTAGTGTGCCAAATTTGGTGGAGGGAGGTGCTCACAGTGTCTTCCCTCAGTCATGCTGCCACCCTCTTAGTGTCATCCCTAAGTCCCTGGGAGGGATGTGTAGGGAAGCAGTAATCTAGCAATAAAAGGAAGATACTAAGAGTCTGGAAGGACACCAAGGGCTATTTCAGGAATTTATTATATGGAATTGTTGCAACTAGCTGCAACAGGCTTGGAAAAATAGGTGGAGATGGCAGCATAACACGAGATGTCCTTATTGCCTTTGCCTTTCACAAATGTTATCTATCTCTGCAATTAATTGCAGAGTAAAAGTGGCCTCTGGATTAGTTAAAACATTCATAGAGTGTGGATTGGTGGAATATTTTTTACTTCGAGGGACTATTTTCATTGTTTCAAATTTATTTTATATTCTTGCTGAAGGCCATATGATGAGCAAGATTGGTGTATGTGTGTTTTTATTCTCTTTCCTGTGCTGACCTGTTTTACAATGTTGGTGCTTTTCTAGGCCGCATTTTCAGCATCCTTCTTGATGATTCGGTCACCTACCCTGTTGACTGGGCTAAAGCGTTTATTTCATAACCCATTTCCATTTCAGAGGTCACACAGAGAGGTCGTTTGAGGTGGAGTAGGATTTCAAATCTTTTTTCTCTCTCAATTCTTTGCAGTGTTTTCCTATTTAATCCTATCAAACAATTGGAAGCTGATGATTTTATATCCAGCATTCTAGATAATGACTAGCTTGACTGCTTTGTGGATACTCTCAGTCTTTGGGAGGAACTCTAGCCTTGGCGAGCCATGAAACTCTAAATCACTGCTCTGAGCAGAAATACTGCATTTATGACACATTGCTGGTAGTTTTGCCCATTTCAAAAAATAGCTTCGAGGGATAATTAAATTTATATGCACTTTTTGAAGAACCTGATTGCATACTTGTATTTCCAAATCATCATTATTTTCACATTAGATCTTTGCCATAAAGAACTATTTAATGAAATTGGTCCAAGGGATTTTGATGATGATTATATTTATGTAGATATCTCTCGGATAACTTTGCATTTTTGTAACTCATGACACAGTTTAGAGAATAATGTTCTTCAAAGTTCAAATTCTTTCGTTGTTTCAAATCGCTGATATAAGGATATTTTGAAAAAAGTATGTTGCTGTGTACTACAAATGAATTTTTGTGGTAAGAGCATTTTTTTGTGGTAGAATTTGACTGGAATTTTAAATAATCATAATTGTACATGGTTAAAGCACCTGCACTGATGTAATGTCACTTGCGCCTTTCACAACCCTCATAGTAGTAAACGAGGCCTTTTTATTTTGAAGAACCGATGATGCCTAAGGACACAGGCAGCATCCAAGTGTTCCATGTAATTAAAGTATAATTCTGACATGAATATTCTTTTTGACATGAATATTTAAAAATTAACATGATAACTCCTGGACTTCCCTGGTGACGCAGTGGTTAAGAATCTGCCTGCCAATGCAGGAGACACGGGTTGGAGCCCTGGTCCGGAAGATCCCACATGCCACGGGGCAAATAAGCCCATGTGCCACAACTACTGAAACCTGCGTGCCACAACTACTGAAGCCCACGCGCCTAGAGCCCATGCTCTGCAACCAGAGAAGCCACCTCAATGAGAAGCCCGTGCACAGCAACGAAGAGTAGCCCCCGCTCACCACAGCTAGAGAAGGCCCTCGTGCAGCAACGAAGACCCAACGTAACCAAAAATAAATAAATTAATTAATTAATTAAAAAAAGAAACATGATAACTCCTTAGACTTTTAGAAAGTTTAAGTTTTATAAAGGGGCTTTTACATATCTCATTTCAGTTCACAATTACCCTGGTAAATGATATAGATTTTTCCAGCTTTTTTGAGATACAATTGACATATGTCATTGTGTGAGTTTAAGACGTACAGTGTGATGATTTGTTATGTGTATGTATTACAAAATGATTACCACAATATGGTTAGTTAACACATTCATCACTTCACATAGTTACCGTGTGTGTGTGTGTGTATTAAGAACTTCTAAGATTTACTCTATTAGAAACTTTAAGTATATTGTACAGTATTGTTAACTATAGTCACCATTCTGTAGATTAGATACTCAGATCTTATTCACCTTATGAATGAAAGTTTGTACCCTTTAAGTGTTTCTATGAGTTCAGTATTTTTTTAGATTCCACATATAAGTAAGATCATACAGAGCTGGTCTTCCTCTCTCTGACTTATTTCACTTAACCTAATGCCCTCATGGTTCATCCATGTTGTCACAAGGATTTCCTTTTTATAGAAGAATAATATCCCATTCTCTGTGTGTGTGTATCACATCTTCTTTATCCATTCATCCATCAACAGACACCTAGGTTGCCTCTACATCTTGGCTATTATAAAGAATGCTGCATCAGTTAATCTATGACAAAGGAGGCAAGACTACACAATGGTGGAAAGACAGTCTCTTCAACAAATGGTGCGGGAAAAACTGGACAGCTACATGTAAAAAAATGAAATTAGATCACTCTTTTACACAAAAATAAGCTCAAAATAGATTAAAGACCTAAATGTGAGACTGGACACTATAAAACTCCTAGAGGAAAACATAGGCAGAACACTCTCTGACATAAATCGCAGCAATATCTTTTTCAATCCATCTCCCAGAATAATGGAAATAAAAATAAAAATAAACAAATGAGACCTAATTAAACTCAAAAGTTTTTGAACAGCAAAGGCAACCATAAACAAAACAAAAAGACAACCCACAGATTGGGAGAAAATATTTGCAAATATTTTTTGACCGACAAGGGATTAGTCTCCAAAATTTACCAACAGCTCATGAGGCTTAATATCATCAAAACAAGCCAATCAAAAAATGTGCAGAAGATCTAAATAGACATTTCTCCAAAAAAGGCATACAGATGGACAAGACGCACATGAAAAGATGTTTAATATCGTTAATTATTAGAGAAATGCAAGTCAAAACTACAATGAGATATCACCTCACACCAGTCAAAACAGCTATCGTGAAAAAATCTCTAAACAATAAATGCTGGAGAGAGTGTGGAGCGAAGGGAACCTTCCTACACTGTTGGTGAGAATGTAAATTGGTAAAGCCACTATAGAGAACAGTATGGAGTTTCCTTAAAAAACTAAAAATAGAGCTACCATATGACCCTGCAATCCCACTTCTGGGCATGTATCTGGAGAAAAACATGGTCCGAAAGAATGCACACACCCCAGTGTTCATTGCAGCACTGTTTACAATAGCCAAGACATGGAAGCAACCTAAATGTCCATTGACAGAGGAATGGATAAAGAAGATGTTGTACATGTATACAATGGAATATAACTCAGCCATTAAAAAGAATGAAATAATGCCATTTGCAGCAACATGGACGGACTTAGAGATTGTCATACTGAGTGAAGTAAGTCAGACAGAGAAAGAGAAATATTGTATGATATCCATTATATATGGAATCTAAAAAAAAATGATACAAATGAACTTATTTACAAAACAGAAACAGACTCATAGACTTAGAGAACGAACTTATGATTACCGGGCAGAAGGGTGGGAGGAAGGGATAGTTAGGGAGTTTGGGATGGACATGTACACAGTGCTATATGGATAACAAGCCAGGGCCTACTGTATAGCACAGGGAACTCTGCTCAATGTCATGTGGCAGCCTGCATGGGAGGGGAGTTTGGAGGAGAATGGATACATGTATATGTATGCTGAGTCACTTTGCTGTGCACCTGAAGCTGTCACAATGTTGTTCGTTGGCTATACTACAATATAAAATAAAAAGTTTAAAAAAAAAGAATGTTGCAATGAACATGGTTGTACAGGAACTTCTTAGTGCTAGTGATTTAATTTCGTTTGGATATGTACCCAGAAGCAGGATTGCTGGATCATATGGTAGTTCTGGCTTTAATTTTTTGAGAAACTTCCATACTGTTTTCCATCGTGACTGTACTAATTTACATTCTTATCATCAGTGTACAAGATTCCCTGTTTTTCACATCCTAGCTAGCAAGCACTTATCTGTTGTCTTTTTTATGATAGCCATTCTAACAGGTGTGAGGTGGTTGTTCATTGCGGTTCTGATTTGCATTTCCCTGGTACAAATTCTTTTGCATGTGGTTATCCAGTTTTCCCAACACCATTCATTGAATGAGACTATCATTTCTCCATTGAGCATTCTTGACTCCCTTGTCAAATATTAGTTGGCCATATATGTGAGGGTTTATTTCTGGACTCTCAGTTCTGCTTCATTGGTCTATGTGTCTGTTTTTATGACAGACCCATACTGCTTTGATTACTGTAGTTTTGTAGCATAGTTTAAAATCAGGAGTGTGAGACCTCCAGCTTTATTATTCTTGTTTCATATTGCTTTAGCTATTCAGAATCTTTTGTTCCATACAAATTTTATGATTGTTTGTTCAATTTCTGTAAAAACTGCCATTGGAATTTTGGTAAGTATTGCATTGAATCTATAGATGGCTTTGGGTGGTGGATATTTTAACAATATTAATTCTTCTGATTCATGAACATGGGATATCTTTCCATTTATTTGCATCTTCTTTAGTTTCTTTCATCAATGTTTTATAGATTTCATTGTACAGATCTTTAACCTCCTTGATCAAGCATTCCTTATCTCTAAGTATTGTATTGTTTTTGATGCTCCTGTGAAGAGGATTGTTTTCTTAATTTCATTTTCAGATAGTTTATTGTTAGTGTATAAAATTACAACTGATTTTTATATGTTAATTTTGTATACTGCAACTTTATTGAATTAGTTTGTTCTAGCAGCTTTTTGGCAGTCTTTAGGATTTTCTATATGCAAGATCATATCACCTGCCAACAGAGACAGTTTTACTTCCTTCTTTCTAATTTGGATATCTTTTATTTCTTTTTTTCTTGCTTGATTGCTATGGCTAGGACTTTTAGTACTGTGTTGAATAGGAGTTGTGAGTGGGCCCCCCTTTTTCTGATCTGAGAGGAAAAGCTTTCAGCCTCTCCTCATTGAGTATGATATGAGCTGTGGGCTTGTTATATAATGGCCTTTATTATGTTGAGGTACATTCCTTCTAACCTAATTTGTCAAGGATTTTTATCATGAAAAAGTGTGGCTTTTTTCAAATGCTTTTTCTGCATCTATTGAGTTAATTGTATTATTTTTACCTTTCATTTTGATTTGCATATGCTGAATCATCCTTGCATTCCAGAGCTGAATTCCACTTGCTCATGGGGTATGATTTTTCCAATGTGCTGTTGAATTTGGTTTGCTAGTATTTTGTTGAGGATTTTTGCATCTATATGTATCAAGGATATTAGCCTGTAGTTTTCTTTTCTTGCAGTATCCTTATCTGACTTTGGTGTCAGGGTAATCCTGGCCTTGTAAAGTGAGTTTGGGAGCATTCCTTTCTCTTTAATTTTTTTTGAATAGTTTAAGAATATTTGGCATTAATTCTTCTTTGAATGCTTGGTAAAATTCACCAGTGAAAACATTTGGTTCTGATCTTTTCTTTGTTGGGAAGTTTTTCATTACTGATTAAATCTTTTTAGTTATCTC